ACATACAATTGTAACGATTATATTATATTATTAGCTGATCCCGTGCACTTTGTTGCCCGTTAAAAATGCCAACTCTATATGATACTTTCTTGTGATAATAAGCCCCGCTTGATGCATACTCTATATCAATATGCTTTTTTTTTTTTTATTTTTACACGCCGATAAGTGGCTATAAGTACAACTCACCCACCTTATGGGTCGCAATCTGTGAAAGTTTGATTTGGTGCATACTTATACCTGATCTGTCCAATTAACCTACAGCAATCAATAAACAAAAAAAAAAATACTAATTTCTATCTACACTATTACATAAAATTGTATGGGGTTTTCTACAACCGCGCTAACCGAGAAAACTACTGAACCGATTTTGCTGAAATTATTTACTGTTATTCCCGACACTCTGCTCAAGATTTTAGTACCACTTTAGTCAATTAAAAATAAGTATAAAGTTATTATTAATTAAAATAAATTATATGAAATATTTTGTAAATTGTGTACCTATACCTTTTTAGTAAGAAATAGTCGCTGGCTAAAAATAAATAACAATCAAACTCGACAACCACAGATGCTTCTAGGCAGGTTGCTATCGACTTGGAATAATAAATAATAATAATAATAATAATAATATTTATTTTAGCAAAAAAAAAAAACAATTATTCTTTTCTGATTAACTAATTATAGTAATTATAATATAGATGTTAGAATTAAAATGAATAATATATATCCAACTAATCGAAATAAAAACTATTTGGTTCAATTTTTGGAAACATCATGAAATTTTAACACTTGTGGTTTTTTAAAGTAACTCGTTATAATTACAATTTAACGGGAATATATGTTAGTCTTTACAAAATATTAAATTGATAACAGATCTGATTAAAAAAATTAAACAGTTATACTATGAATTTGTTCTAACTAAACTTTCATATTATATTTTATGAATACAATATCTATTATGTCAGTTGTAATATTTTGTAAACATTGTCCTGTATGCATATGGCTGTAAACTCCAATGCTCTAGTTAAAATAAGACATAATCGGCCATCTAGTTATTTTATGTCTATGAAATTATGTCAATATTTTGACATGGATATATTTTATATGTTATACCAAATCACTGTTAGTATAAATATATGAAAGAATCTCTACTTTTGTACTCCTCCTTACTTTGTACATAATATTATATTATTAATATCGTAGGTAATATTATATTACTCCTTGCATTTTGGTTTTAGTAATGTATATAATGCTATTATACTGTAACTCGCTAAAGTCTTAAGATAAGTACATGAAGACTTTTCTAGATGTTAGGATTAAAATTAATAATAATAGATATCCAATTAATAAAAAAATAAATTTTATTGACATTATTATGACTGAAGTTTTAAACCTTGTAATGATTTAATAGTTTAATATTAATAATACATAATATATTAACTATTAATTTGTAGTAATGGGCCACTACAGTTCTGCAATGAAATGGTATCTGGAAGCTATTGTAATAGTCAGCGACTACTTTGCCCGACCGGTTTTGAAACCAATGATAGAAGATTATGTTTATAAAAGAATGATGAAATGTTGCATGCAAATGCAAAATTTTACGCAGGTAATAATCTTTTAAGTATTTAACTTATTTCTAATAATACAAAATTGTATTTTTAAATTTATAGGCAGCAATATTATGTCTGTTCCAAGAAGAAATAGATTATGCAACTGCATTTAAATGCGCTTCTGAGACAAATTCATCTGATGCTTTGGATGAATATTATGATTATATATGGGATATAAGTTTGTTGGAATTCCTTATATATTGGCATACTAAATTAAACCATCAGGAACACAGGCAAAAACTTGTAAGCAAATATATTTTCATAGATAATTTAGTCAATAGTTTGTAAAATAGTGATATGCAAAATTTATAAGTTATCTGTCCACTCACTCAAACTATTAAGGTTTTATAACTTGAATACTTTAACAGGCGATTCCCTTTTGACTTTCATGTAGTTTCATAGTAATAATTTAGTTTAGCTTCTTTAAGTACACAAAAGTAGATAAAATTCTACAATTTGAATAAAATCACCTGTATTATCCTTATTGTTTTCTACATAATCAGAGATTATCAGTGGTATTACAAATTCAATCTTTTGGTGTCCCATAAACAACAACAATCTATCAACAGTCAGTACATATTGTACTGTACACATAGTTTAGTAATTTGTAATTTTAGATTCAGAGAAGAGTGATATGTTCAGTGTAAAGCCACATTAATTTTTTATAAGTAAATGAAAATCAAATTTATATGAAATTGGATATTTGTACAAAAACTAATAATTTTCAATACACAATATTAATTATTGTTCTTAAAAGTGTAATCCAATAAAGCACATGTATTTTACCATGTTATGAAGTATAATTAGTTAATATATAAATAATTAAACAAATACAACAGTTGTAGTTTGGAAATTATTAACTGTAGCAACTTGAAATACTGTATCACACAATACATAATTACATTTTAAAAGTATTTAGATTAATTTAAGGATTTTTATACCATGAATTTATTCACACTGTTCTATGCTATGTCAGTATTTACTTTTAAGTTAATAACAATTATATTGTTGTACAATATATGTGTAAGGTTTTTGGCAAAAATTAGTTTAAAATAACGTAATACTAATAGATAAATAAATTTAAAAATACCCTTAGAAGACTCTGTCACCGTTCTAAATCGTTATTTGTTTGCAATGGTTTATCATTTAATTCTAATTCAATACATCCATTACAATGATATACTTAATTAAGAGTTACAATAAAAACCTTTTTAATGGCAAAGCTACTTCCACTGTTTTTTATAGATAATTACAGTAAGTCCTCATTTAACATTGTTTCGCTATTACATCGTAGAATTTTAAATTCTCTTGTTCCTTTTAACAGTTCAACTATTGTATACACACTTACAGAATCAAAAGAGTTTTTTTAATGTAATGCTTTTGTCGATTTTATTGACATGTTAATCATACATGGCATACTGGATGAACGGCATCTAGACGTATAATGTGGTTTTAGGGCTTAGGGGCGAGTGCGGAGTTACGTCTCTGGGACGTTATAAGACTTGACAGGTTTCACGGTGGTCTGTATTTGCCGGTCGTTGCACTCCATGACTATGTACTGTTATTTTCTTTCATAAATAGGTTTGTGCAGTTCCACTACACATCACCCAGGTGTTTTAGTTCTTTCAAACCTGACATCATCCAGATAGGCAATAATGTAATTCTGGGGATTGTAAACTTATTATTTGGTTGTAATATTTCTTACATTAATTCTTTATTTGATGGATAATTAGTATTCAGTTGTTGTTTAATGATACTTTCTTGTCTAGCACTATACAGTTATCATGTGTATTATTTATTATTATTACATATTTTATTTTACCTACTGTGTGTTAAGTATTGGGAGGAACACATTTCAGTTATGTGCATGTAGTAAGTGTCTCACTTAACAATGTATTTTCTAGGAGCCTAACCTCAACATTTAACAAGTCCTTATTGTATTATGCACTTTAATATTTTCTTTGAAATTAAATTAAAGCAAATAACTTTAACTCAAATACTTCTGCATCTTGAATTTTATTTTATGTTCCCTTGGTATTTGAAGAGCCACTGTATATTTATTTTTAATTGGACAGAAAATGTGAATGGAATTATTATTTGTTGAGGAGTATAAATAAAATATTCATTATAATTTATTGCAAGTTTTTTGTTTTGTAAGCTTGCAGAGTGATTATTTTATCAAAGAATTCATTACAATATGTTTTTTACATAATTTTAGGTCAGTACTGAAAATATTTTTGTAATTTTTGATCATGATCATTATCAAGTTTCTTACTTTTTTTGTATAACAACATGCCTAACAAATCAATACATTTTTAATTGCATATTCCAAAGCAAAATATTTTTAAATTATTTTGATTTATAAAAATAGAATTTTAAACCAGCATTTAATTAATTTATAAGTATATAAGGTTCAGATAAATGGATTGATGGACCAATGTTTTATAGAATATTAAAATAATGTATTACTCCACTCCTATTCATCTAAAGTTTAAATATTATCAAATATAGCTTGTTAATAACATGTTCAAAAAATTTGATATTTTAATACCATATACTGGGTTAAATATTCTGCTTTGGACATTTTAAGAAAATTAAATAAAAAATTTGTTGTCATTCTCAAATTTAAAAACTATAAATTTATTACGATCAAATATAATATTTTTTTTTTAAACGTTATGCATTGACTTAGAATTATGTAAAAAATATTTTCAAAAGTCTTAATAGTTTCAGGTGAGTGTTAAATTTGAAAAAATTTTCCATGATATAATGTATAATATACATATAATATATTGTTGTAATATAAATTCTATATACATTTTGAAAGTACAATTTTTTATTTTATATGTATGTCTATTTAAAATGGAGTGTTTTTTTTTTTTACATATATAGTTGAAAACAATTGGTGCGTTGGAGTTAAATGCAAATAATAATGAAGAAATTAAAAGAGAAGCAGCCAATATAAGAAAACTAAAATTTTTAAGAGCACTATCACAGCAATATGTACATCCCTAAAAAATTAACTGAAGGTCTATCTACAATAATAATACATACAATGTTTTTATACATTTAAATTTCTAAAAAAAAAAACAAAAAAAAAATGGACATTGATTGTAATTATGTAATGTTTAAATTTTAATAAACATAGTAAAGTATAATGGTGATAAAAAAAAACATTTTGATACTTACTAATTAGGAATAATTTACGTGTCATTCTTAAATAGTTTAAAATATTACAGTTGTCTCCAATTATCACTCAGAAAATAAGACAATAAAAGTTTTTTAGAGGTTGAATAATATTTTCATTGAAAATCGCAACAATTGACAAACATGACAAATTTTTAAAAATATTTATTTTTAATTTAATGAAAATATCGATTGTACTCAGACTTAGTACATTATCTCATTTATTTTAGTACAATTCATTATTTGAGCATTTTGTTTTGTTTTTGGCTTTTCTTAACAACAAGCTTACTTTAATTAACTAAAATAATAGTAATATTGTATACAATTGTGTATTAGTCAGTGCATAACTATGACATCTGGAGCTGATTTAGTTGATTCAATACTATAAGGCCTTTGACTTAGTTCGGATGAAAACTTATCCATTTCAATAACAGCCTCAGCCCTAAATTTTGATGGCTTTGCATCAGCAGAACTTTCTGAAGAATCTTTTCGATATCCAAAAGTAGAAAATCCTAATGGTTGCCTGAATGGTGATTCTGATGGTCTTACTCTATAGTGGCCAGCAGTTTTTGGTACAACTGAAGTGTCAAAAAGGCTCTCTCTAGTTTGACACTCAATATCTTTAGTTTCAGCTGTTATTGGATAGGAACTCATCAATCCATCACCTTCTTCGTCTTCAACAGAAGGATAAAGGCGAGGCGGATCATGCTTCATTAACACTGGAATAAGGTCACCTGATGGAACATAACAATCCGAACTAGATATGTTAGTATGTTTGCTTTGGATTAGGTTAGTGGTTTGACTACTGTTGTCACTTTGTGGATAGTCATGTCCTTGTGGACCAGAATCTTCTAGTGATTGTTCGTCTGTTACATGTATTCTTCCAATTTGATCTAAATGATCTTCTCTTGAATGGCGCATATGTTCCTAATAAAAAGAGTTTTAAATTACAATTATTAGACTTAATTGAACCTTGGACTTATCTAACTAAGGTAGGTGTAATAAACACGTTTGCTTATAAAATACAGGTATATCATCCATACACACAATGGTATTTTAATGCATTACTAATATTAAGATTGATATGAAAACAAAACTTTTAGAATCTGTCATTCTGAGCATAAATGTATTTGTTCCACAATGTTATTATTTTTGTGTGTCCATGGCTTTTGTGAGCAGTATAAATTCACTAATCATCAACTTTAAGTTTAAAATTCACAGTATCTACTTTTCAAAATTATCGATTACATTGATTTATATATATTCAAAATGTAATTTAACTATAATATAAAATCCTAATTATTAACTCTCAAGACAATTTCAATGGCCTAATTAGAGTGAGATACGACACCAATGACTTTATTTTTTTTAACTCGTGAACCGTATTTAAGTACTTATCTAGCTTTAAATAAAATTATTTATAGATACTAATAGGGTATATTTTATAGAAACAAGACATCAAATCCATAGATATTACAGTCTTATATGTATATATTATATATTCTTAAGGTCCCCACACACTGCAACGGTGGCGATAAAATTCTTTTGTACATTTTATGCTAATTAAACAATTTTATACAACCTACTTTTATAATTCGGTGGTCATGCACAAGTTTTCGGACAATATTGGTGATGAATGCTGAACACATGCCGCATAGAATTAAAAAAAACACTACTAGAATAACTATTATGTCAAAACTTGAAAATAGTTGCATTAATCTGTTGTCTTCTTCCTAAAATAATTAAAAATTAATAGCTTATAAAACAACTTTAAAACAAAAGCTGAGTAAGTAATAATTTAATACAAACCGGACACCCGTCTTCATCCCATCGAAAACGACAATTCTCGACCTGATTGCAACGTAATTCGGACGCAATACACGTTAAGTCTTCACAATCGTACTGATCACTACCGCACGCTGTAAAATATAGTTTCGAATCTGTTAGGACATAATATTATAACGTGATACATAAACGTACAGCAGGTGGCGGTAACCAGAATTCTGAAATGGGGAGGAGGGATTGAGTATAAATTAAACCAAGTTTTTTACAGTTTTGAGTACATAAATAATAGATTTATTTGGGGAAAAAATTTCGACGGGAGTGACGTTAAACACCCCCCCCCCCCCCCCCCCACTGACTACGCCTCTGCGTCAACCGTACAAGTATGTGGCATCGTTTAAGTATAATTTATTTGACTAGGGCTGAAAACTTACTAAATTGTCTGACTTATTCTTTTAATTTTCATTGAAAAACTGCTAATATGGAGCTAAAAATACTGTCTGTCGTATTTATAGATATACAGCGTGATGCTTAAGCATGCTCACCTCCATTTTCCTCAATAATATTATACGTTTACTCAAATTCTGATTTTTAGAATTTTTAAGTAGACTTAAAGACCATATTTTTAAATTACTGATTACATTTGTACTGCTTAATGAATATCCTGTGGCGATACAAACTTCTATTTTTTTAAGGAGAACCCCTCTTTGTTATTAAAAATTATTTAGCGGATGAGTTTTTTGAAAATGTTGATGTTTCTTAATCAAAATGCTAATTAGTAGTTTCTGAGTTATTAAAATGTTTATACTAAGAATAATAATCCTTAAAAATGGTTTTATGAAAATAATTTATATTGACAAATTAATAGTAATTGCCAACTTTTTCAAATCGTCGAAGCCCCATATCTACTTAAATTTTATCATAGACATATTATCCTTCAAACATAAAGTTACAAAACTACTAGCTTAAATTTTGATTTAGGGACATCAAAGTTTTCAAAAAAAATATCTGCTTAATAATTCAAAATGAAAAGGGAGGTTCCTGTTTGAAAAACTGAAGTTTTTATTTGTCATCCTTAATTGATACAAAATACTTCAATGATTCAAAAAATGGTCTTCAAGTGTATTATAAACTCCAAAATCTGAATTGTAATTTATGCATAATTAAAGCATAAAAATTTGATGAGCACGCATAAAAAATCACCCTGTATATGAGTTATAAATTATAATCTACTGTTATATACCATATTAATATGCTTATCTACTGTTCTAATAATGTAAACAGATGCGTGATCAATGAATATTTTGGAGGATTTTAACATGAGTTATACTTATTTATTTATCACTAATTATAACTAAATAACCCCACTGAAAGCAGAGGTTTTTTTCTGAATTGCCAGAAGCATTTTACTAGGTGTTAAATGTGCTTTTTGTATACGAGGTACCGTAACCCGTAGGTATCGACAACCGACTTATGACTAGGTACCTAGTTATAATATGTAATTTAAGCATAGACCTAATACTACCTACTAGATGGACGGATGTAGGGGGGGAGCCCTATCCCTGGTCCCCCCCCCAAACATATTATTTCCCACATTTTTTAATAATTCTACAGATCCTGATATTACTACATTTCAATAATTACATGTATGTCTGATGATATAGGTAATATATTATTTTACATATTACGTATAATTCTGAGGGCACAAACTAAGATGTACCATCTTAGTTCATGGTGGACAGTAATACCAATACTGTGATTTTACATTAACAAAAAATTGTGCCCTCCCCCTCCCCCCCAGATCCAGATCCTTGCTCTCGATCCGTGTTTGCTACTAGATAGGAACTAGTGTATTTAGGGGGGGGGGAACAATGCGGACATTTGCTCGGGGCGGCCAAATATTGATCTATGTAGGGGGCGACCGGGCCCCTCGCGGTAACTCGGTGCAGTATTGTTTCAATAAATATTTTATTTTTGGAAAGAATTTGTATTATGACTCGATCCTTGAAAACTTAACAGTGCAACGATAATAGATAAGTGCTAGTTGTAATTTTAACATAACAATGGTTGTAGGTAGACAACCATGACTTAATCATAAAGAATTATAACTAAAAATGTGTTAAGAAAAATCAAAAAAGTGGATCTATTTTTTGGTCGAGGGGCGTAAAATTATGGTTGACCCAGGGCGCAAAAATTGTAAATACGGCCCCGAGTGTATAACAATAGCATTACGAGCAGCGTAACAACATCTCGCAGTGATAAAATACAACAATCTATTTATCTATACATCTTACCTTGCTACCCCGCACAAACGTTCGTACGAGTAATCGAGTAATAAAAAAGCGCCCTCTATGTTGTTACGCTTTCCATACAGCCATTAATTGTCTAGTAGTATTAGGTCTATGATTGATACAAATTACAAGGGCTAATATTATTCGAGTGCAGTCGAGTATTAAATTACAAAACTATGACATCCCGAATTTACAAGTGTAAGTATGTATACCACACAGTGATACAGAATATAGACATATATAGACATATTTACAGAAACTTTTTGATCTTAAACTATTATAATGCTACAATATACAACATGCTATAATAGTACATAGGCAGGTTTATGATGTACCTTTTGCCTTTATATTAGTTTACTGTTACTTATATTATGTTATAATAGCATACCTTCGTCTTTAGTCTTGGTGCGGTACGCAGTGTAAAGTGCCGAGAATTTTGATTTCACTCCCTTCCCCTCTGCCAAGAATCGCACGTGCAACATGTTGCCCGGCGATTGCACCATTTCAGCTATCGATCCACAAAACACCTTGAGCCGCGAAGCCATGTCTGTGCGGTTTGAGAAAATCTCCACTACGTTCAATCCGCAATCGTTGGGTTTTTCTAAAGAAAATTCTTTGAAGTTAAGCTGAATCTAAAATAAATATACAATGGTTTCGAGTGAATAATTATGTTGATCACATCTAGCCGATCCTAAATAGTAAATATAATAGGTAGGTATATAGCTACTGATTAGTAGTTACTTATTAGTTAATATATTTGCAGGCGCGAAAAGACAATTTTCCGATCCAAAGCATAAAAATGCTAAGCGTCAAGCAAAAGAGTCCACAATTGATTTCAGAATAATAATTGAAGTTTATAAATCCTATTAAGATTCTAGTCAGTTAAAAAATATAGTTTTGAGACCTTCCGATGTGACAAAAATGTATGACTGGCTTGTCCAATTTCAAATTCTGTAAGAAGCCTTAAGATCGTTTGTATTTTTTTTCTAAAATTTGGTCAAAACGTTAATCAAAATATGAATTTCTGACTGATATGATTAAACAAAATGTCCATATTTACCTGTGTGGCTTTGTATAATATCTGAGACAGAAATGTTCTCTTAGAAAAACAGTCTAGTTTAAGTTTAGAAGATATATCAATATGTTAAGTTAACTTGAGTTATTAACAGAGTCAAAGTGAAACTAGTCAAAGTTTCACAATTTCGTCACAGCAGAGGCATTTTTCTATTCAAAAGTTTGGAAATCATCAGCTAAACCTACCTAATATTTGTGTCTAAATACAGCTCTAAGTATGAGTTTTTCAAATAATACAATTATTACCTTCCAACCTTCTTTTACTTGTATTATCCACATACAGTCCAAAGGTACTTGGTTCACGAGTGTTGTGTTCTTTAAATCATCAACCTCCGTACTATTTATGTACCCCTGTGAACCACCCACAAATTTACGACACGGCGGAAGCTCCGATTTTTCTATGTCTGCAAAATATGATTAACACTACAATATGAGGCACAGGTTTCAAAAAATATTTCAATTTTGACTTTATGCCATCATCATAGAAGTCGTGGTATTTTTTGGTATATAGTCTGATTAAATTATGAACCATTATTATATTAACGAACAAACAATCGTTCTGGTTAATTGGACGCATTATACAATTAATATTACCAACTTAAAGTTTTGACGATTTTGTTGATGGCGCTTAATGATTTTAAAACAATTTTTTAAAGATCCCGTGATACATATCATTCACCAAGCCCCACAAGGCCACTGACGACTTCCATATAGGAGGTAATAGGTACCTACTATATTGTATTAAATATTATAATAAAGTCGACTAGGTACTTGATACAACGACAACCATCGGAAAAGTGTGTCGTGACAATTTAACTGTTTTCTACCACGTATGTTGATAACAATTTTTGGAGTATGAATTATTATTGTTCACCTGGCGGAGGCTTCTTAATGAATTTGTAAACGGCGTGGAATCCTTCATATTCAATATTTTCGTCCGACCGAAATCTCAGCCATAAATATTTGCCTGATGAAATTATTCTAGAAAAGAAATATAGTACCAAATAATGTATTATAATTTATATTTGCGGGTGTAAGACATTACCTAAGTGCAACGTGTCTTTAATATCCGTATTGCAATTTGTATTTTAACAAGATATTTAAATTAAAAAAATTAAAAATACTCACTTGGGCGGGAACTGATTTCCGCAGTAGTAATACGCTGGAACTGAATATCCGTACGGGCCATCTCGAATTTCCAAGTGGTCGTGTTTACACCCAATACTTGGTTCAATGGTAAACGAGTCCCTAAAGTCTAGTTCAATAATCTCTCCAGGGCCAGCTAAGAAAAAGTATTCAATATTATTTGTTTCATTTAAAATTATTTGAATAAAAATCCTGTTCACACACCTTCTAACGACCTGATACATTCTGTATTATTGGGATAAGGTTGAGGATAACCCGGAGAGTAGAACTCGAAATCTTCTTCGAACCGTTGACACGGTGAATTAGCCATCAAAGTTTCAGACGCCATGTCTTGAACCGGTATATCATAATCAATAGTAGTGGTTAACGAAACATTACCATCGATTAAATCCGAATCTACAATTTTAGTTTTAATTGTAAAAAAGAAAATTAATAAATTAATACATCCAATACACAAAATATTTTATATAATGTAAAATTTACCTAATCCAAATACTTTTTTTGAAATTATTAATAATACCGCAATACCTAAAAAAAAAAACCTTATTATTTAAGATCACACTTCTAACTTTTCATGTTTTTATAGAGTATATTTTTTTAATAAATCAATGCCTTAATTGTTTTTAAATTTAAACGAATTTTCCTCATAACATAACAATAACCGCAGGGATTGCGTATAACGAGGAGTCCATAGTCATTCAAATATAGATAGTACTTTTACATACAAAAATGTACTAAGTTAATATTCGTGTGATTTGCGATTTAAATTATCGATAAAAAATGGAAGAGATGCATCATCCATTATAATCTATTATGGTTTTTTAGTTTTTGAAATATTTTAATTTCCAATGGGCAATGAATGGTTGTTCACCACACAATTCAGAATTTAACCACTCATAATACCTATCATAATCCACAGATAAAATGTTTTCTATACTCATACCAGCCATAATATGATCTTTCATCCTATGATCTTAATATCTATCAGTATCCAATCACCAAAATTAAGGAATTAAAAACTAATAGTTCATAATATAGTCTATATCTAAGTATACTTTAGAATTTAGAATGGTAATTTATATTTAGTTTTTGATAAAATAGTTAATACAAGACCCAATGGCGAAAAAGATCACATTTTACATTAAATTCATTGCTATTTACTATCTCTGCTACTATAATATTAAATTCTTACCTTATACTTATATCTAGTTGATAACGCATTATTTCCTCTTTATAATTCAACAGACGATTTAAAATTTATTTTATTTTTATCTCTTGGGACATTATTTCGTTTTACATATTTAAGCATGACGTTGGCATTAAGTTTACCTACTTGACCTGTAAACTAGACAAAAAACAATTGTAATCCTATACATTTATAATATGTTTTTATTCTCGAGTTTTGAGAATAAAATATTATTACACTCATATTAGTTTAAGATTTTAAATACCTACTAGTTATTGAAATATGATTTTTTTAAATTTATATATAAAACACTTAAGCATATAGGTATCTACATAGCTAATAATTTATTGTTTTCAATATTTGACTTCACTATTACTTGGATATACAATTTTATTATCTTGCCATTTTACAGTAGGTATACTCAATATTTTGGTTTTGTTTATATGTCTATATTCATTACGAAATACTTTAACAAAATGTGTTTAAAAGGTAATACACGAATGATATATGAGTACACTCTACACACTAATATAATATAAGGGTTTAAAATGTTCATAACGATATATCAGGTTTTATACGAATAAATATATTAAAAAATTGAAAAGTATTTAGATTCAATGTGCTATTTTATTATAGAAATTCTTAATCATCTTTGAATAAATACAAAAAAATAATTAAGTTTACAATTAAATCGATATTAATATACATGACGGAAATAATGTAGTTATAATCATTAATTAACTCCAGTGATTTCAATTAATTTTTTTTTAAAAATATTATATATTTAGCATTGAAGCCATAATATAGAGAAGTACCTATTGAATCTAAATTCTGAGAGGAGCGATGATTGTATTGATTTTACAATGATGTGTATTTTTTTTTTTTTTTTGTCTGAGTTTACTGTGCTGAGTACACAATAAGTAATCGAAATAATTCTTCGATTTTCGACTTCAGTATCTTTTCCAGTTGAAAAATGAATTTAATTAGTTCGGTAGTCAAAAATATTCTCCGGGTTTTCAAAATTCAAAGGCACCGGGAAAAACAAAACAAAACAAAAAAAGTTTTTTGACAAAATCAATTTCGGTTTTTTGTGTAATTCTAAAAAAAATTACCTTAGATACACGACATTTCCACTAAATATTTAAATTAGCATTTTCTATACACCACAAAATATTTTGACTCATATTGAGCTATTTATAGGCGTATTAAATTTTCAATTTTTATTAGTTTTTTAAAATCAATGCTGATGGAAAAATGTTTGCTGGGTCGGTCAAAAAATAAGAAAATGTAATACAAGGTTCATCATAAGTTGTTGTAAGTGTAAATTTAAAAATAATTAGTGCAAATCCACAACAATTTTTTATGGGCATCTGAAGTTAGTATTTTGATTGGGATTTTAATATCACAAACATTTGCAAATTATTTTGTGTTAAAAATTCATAAAAATTTTTTCTATACCTAAGATTTTTAATACAGATTTCTCATAAGTGTGTCTACCTTTATCAAAAAAAAAAATGTCTACCGGAAAGTCGAATTAAATGTTTATGACCGTTTGCAATTCAAATTTTCACAACATAGGATATTCAGTCGTTTTCTCATGGAACAATTTTCTTATTTTTTTGTTATTCAAAAACGAATAACCACTTAGATCAGTGGTTCACAACTTTTTTGGATTCATGTTACCCTAATTCACAATAAGTCAACACTACGAAGATATACAACTGATAATTCCTGCAGCTCGCGTTAATTGTCTCTTTATACTTGTTTGATTTGAAGAATTTCCTGACAAAAATTAACTATATAATTTTGTTTTCTATCTGTAATCCTGAGAATAATAGTTGAGTTGGCTGTGATATGTGTTGACTAATACGACTTAAAACGTAGGTACATAACAAAGGTTATCAGCCATCAGGCCCAGATGTAGCTGAAGGCAACACTACTTGAAATGCTGCTCCAATAACTAACTAAAATATGTCTGCATGCTAGCCAAAATAAAGAATCGTTTTTTGTATTCAATGATTTTATATGATTGAATTCAAATTTAACACATCCATTTACAGTGACTTCCTAGACAGCAGAGCGTTACCCGCACATACCCGTTTTTTTAAATGTATATATTATATTATGTTAAACGTATTAAACATTAAAAATGTATTTAATATTATGGACCTGAGCAGCCAACATAACTGATAAATTTTAGACAAATGTCCTTGAAATCATACATTGAGATATCAACATTCCAAGATGAATCAACCGACCAAAATAATCGATCAACGGACTAACTAAAGACAAACCGAGAAAAAGCATTAGACAAGATATCAGGACAAAATGCTGCGTTCACAACTCAAGCTGAACACACCTCCATCAATACAGCCTACAGGTAATCACTTTGATCGAGTCTTTCCTCTTTGTCAAGTTCTACTTGGTCTGAGACTGTGTAGCTTACAGGTCACCTCTCCGTAGCCAAACCTACTGACTGGACATAATTTAAGAATAGGTAGAGGCGACGTATTGCAGGGTCAATACGTAAAGTTATACTATTTAATTACTTTTTACTAAATTAAATTAATATAAGTACTACTGTTAATTCACTTAAAAGCTTGACATGTTATTTTATTATTTTTATTATAACAATACGGTCAATAATTAAATGATTTATATTCTGTCCCGACCAAATTTATGATCTAATACCTCCCTAGTGTAACTCCTATTTGGGGAACACTTTCATTATCAAAATAATATATGTTATATAAAATATAATAGTTACATATTAGAAAGTTGCTGAAACATTATAACACGCAATAAAAGGGCGTTGTTTTTTATTCTCCCCTAGTATTTTTCCAATGATGACGGAAATTGTTTGTTTTGTATTTTAACAAAATGCAGGTATAAATAATGTTTTCATATACTAACTAATTTGTTAATGTAAAACGATCGAATACAACATAATTATAAATGTGTAAATATTATAAATGTAATGTTTATCATATATGTACACATAACATCTATTCATATATTGTACCTTTAATAACTATAGTATACAGGTATAAAAGACACGATATTTGTGCAACACTTAAATAAAATAAAAACCGAAGCAGTCCATCCGCTGTATGATAAAGATATAAAAGCATTCGTCGTTTTTGCACCACAATTGTTCATTTTGACTTTTTGTATAAGACGTCGTTCGATTTTTAGATTATGCATCGTTGGGGCATACCTGAATATTTAACAATACAAAGCGAAAAGATTAGGACTTAGGAGTACCCAAAATCGCGGGTTATTTACTTGCTCTCAGTTTTCAATTTGAAGCTATAATATTCAATTTTCATATATTGAGTAAAAGTATACCTATAGGTATGTAGTTTTGTTTAAAAATGTAGAATATAGGCTCACGATAAGATTAAAAAACCAGTAGGGTCACCTTGACCAATCCATAGATTTTTATCGTGTAATATGTATATTATTATGCATTATAACTATAACTATGTTTTTAAAATTTAAATTAATAAGCTGGTTATATTATTGTTAAACATGTATAATATATACCTACTTATTTTTATTTATGTAAATAATACAAAAAATGTATACGATTATTGACTGTTCAAATTCGATCATATTAATATGGTATATAATAAGTTCTTTTAAAAAATGTCACATAATTTTCAATATTTTTCCCTTAATATTGCAAGATAATATGCTAATGCGCAGACAATGTACGATATTTTCAATTTTGTAACAGGTAACCGCGATAATGAGGAAACAACGACCGCCGGAGTGTTGCTCGTTGCACTCATTGAGTAGGTTACTGTAAAGGCGATTTGTTAAATCACTGTATAAGAAAAAAATCTTTTTCAGTCCGTATAGACGTCTATCAGGCTTTTTTCTAAGGATACTTTATAATATATTTATTTATTTTTCTATTAGGTAGTAATACTATAGGTTGAACTAAATTTTGCCAAAAACAAATCTCGTAATGAATATATATTATATAATAATGTTATTTAATATAACTTTATAAACATATAATTTTAGTATCTGATAAGTCAGTATGAACGTGCCGTAGAATAGAGTGAATTAATTACAATAGGTGTTAAATTGATTTATGGTATATACATAACATACATTTAATCTAAATATCTTTAAAATATCTTCATAATATCATACTGTAAAGTATTATTCGAATTACAAATCCCAACAAGTAATATTTTTAATTGCAACAAAATAAATAAATAATTATTTTTCATTTAAATATCCTATTTTGTAAACATTTGAATTTAAAATGTCTAAATAAAAATTGTGACTTTAATGGCATACAATGTATTATTGATATTTATTAATTGCT